AGTGGCCAATAAAAAATAGTGAGGTCTTGCCTGAAGTAAGACAAGGTTGGGACTTGTAACTATGAGAGAAAATTAATCATAGAATTATGACTCAATGAGTTGGACATGAGGTAGAAACTTTGTACATAACTGCATGAACAAAAAGATAAAAATACTAAGGGTCAGCAAGTTAACATTAGTTTGGTAGGTTTTTTTTTTTTTTTTTTTTCGTGGAGTTGAACGTAATTATCTTAAGCAAGTGACCCAATGGAGAAGATGGCTGAATGTCACTGTAAAATTAACTTCAAATATATAGAATTTATTTGTCAGTGGCTATATTAATATTTTAACTAGTGTGTCATCAAATTAAAAACTGGTTTATGAGAAATAGTCTTCAGTCTTTATTTGCCAAACACTATTAGCTGATGTTATGTCCAAAGTGGAGGAAGTTATGCATCATGGCTAGTCTGGGGGGGATGACAAGCTCTCTATCAGATAGAAGCATTTGTCAAGGAACCCAGGATTTCCACAGAGCTAGCAATTAAAGAGCCTTAGCATCTTGTAGGAAGCTCCCAACTCTGTGAAGACTGGGCACAAGTCCAGCCCCCAAGACATCCTCATGGGCCTGGTCACCTTGTCTGGGAAGCAGTACCTCCCACAGTTCCCACAGTTGGGGGCGGCAGTCTGGCAATGCCTAGGACAGACACCGTGGAGTCTGAAGTGGACTTCATGACTAGTGCTCAAGCTCAACAAACCTGGCCATGCTCTCTCCCTGGCTTCTAAGCCTGGCTGTGTGCAGAGTATCAGGGGATTGGACACAGCATTTAGTATGAATTAACTTCATACTGGAAGATGCTTTGGACCTTAGATGTGTGACTGTAGAGGACAGATGAGTAATCATATTACAACAGCCCCCAAGGAAAGGCAAAAGAAAATCATTTGGATCTAATCTTTGGTTTTGGTTCAGCTAGTCTCCCACTATTGATTGCTTCATGTGGACCCCCAGGGAAGGAAAAGGAGAATTATCTGCTTTGAGCTTTGATTTTGGTTCAGATCTTCTCTGGCCATCTGAGCTTGTAATGCCACTTTTTTTTTTTTTTTTTTTAATGTGTCAAGACTTTTTCACTTACAGAATTAAGTGATAAAAACTTACATGGTCTAACCTTAAAATGTAGCAAGAGCTTTTTGATTGGGAGTATTTTGAAAGAATTCTACAATCTCCAGATGTTCAGAGATAGTGACATTACCGGAGAGGAGGAAAGCCAGAAGCTATTTGGTCTGCTCTCTGGCCTCTGTCTCTGTTTCACCATATCTAGGCTCTCCCAGAGATAGGAGTGCAGACTTCGCCCATGGAAAAGCAGCATTTGGAAGAAACACCTGCAGACATGGTTCACTATAGCTGAAGATGCATGGTGCTGTTCATTCCCCCACGTAGCATTCACTATAATACTTCCTCAAAGGGGAGTTACTCAAAGACACTCGAGAGTTGATCACCAAGTTTGTTTTCTTACGCCACCGTGGAGGTTATCAACCTGTGTCCCACAGACTCCTGAGAACCCTGAGATCCTTTCAGGGGACCCGAGAGACTAAAACTATTTCATAACAAATAAGATATGTTATTTGCTTGCTGTAGTGTGTTGACACTGGCACTGAAGATGGACCAAGGCCTGTATTAGTGGCTGATATCTTCCTTAGGGCCACACAGTCAGGCACAAAGGATCAATTTCACATCAGTGTCCTTCATGTAACAGAAAAATGAGTCATTTGAAGTTTCTTCTGATAAAAACACACCTTATTATTCAGAGTGACTAATTGGGGAATGTGAAAAGCAATATAAAATGCAAAGCAGTTCTGCACTAAAGTCTGGTGCACTCTGATTGTCCTCAGTAAAAGCACTTAGTGATTCTTTGAGGCGCAAGTCAGACTAGCCACTTTGTACATTCATAAAGCATCATTTTTACTTGAAAGAACAAATGACAGGGAAATTACGGTTATTCAGACTTGGGAATTTGGCAGACATTTTTTCTCAAAAAAAATGAAGCAAGTCTGTCACTTCAAGGAAAACAACTGACAGTATCTGTTGCCGATAATAAAATTTGAGTTTTCAAGCAAAAATCAGAATCTTGGAAAACTGGTAGCTGTTACTGTGAACTTGATAGCTTCCCAGTTTCCCATTGCTTTCCTGATGGGCTCTGTCCTCCTGGGAATGGATATGATTTGGACCTGTTTAATGTGAAGTCTCGGCATTTGGATGATCTGTGATTCTCAACAAGCTGGTATTTTCCAAATGGTCAGCATCAGGGCTGCACACTCATGCATTTGTAAAAGATCCATCCAAAGATGAAGGTAAGCAGTGAGTTTCAGTTACAGAATATAAGCCTATTGGCACAACCTCATAACCCATGTTGTAACTGAATTTAACAAAACTCTACTATTTGTAGACTTTGAGGTAGGTAGTTTGTGGTACAGTAGCAAAGAGTATCTGTAAGTATCAGCGAAGATTATGAAAACACTCTTTTAAAATTATTTTCATATATGAGCTTTCTACTAATCCAAACACTATAGAGACTGGTAAAAATTTAAAACAATGACACCCTTTGCACAATTATTTTCTTTGGATAACACAGTCATTCTCATAAAATATATTATATGTTTTTTATGTTAGTGATGAATTTATTAAACATGCAATGTGTTTATTATTACCATATGTTACTTAAAATTTAATAAGTAATAAGTTTCTCAGCTTTCATTGTTTCTAAGGTAAACTCTGAGAGATTTATCAAAAGTATATTGATGCTCTCTGTGATTCTTAAGCATGTTAAAAGGATGCAGAGACTGAGGAGGCCTAGAGCCACTGTCCCAAGATCCCTGCTCAGGAAGTGACATTTTGGATGAATAATTAAAAAGGGACAAGGGACTTGGCACTTGACAGTTTGTTGTCAGGAAGCTTGTCTGGGCTGACAACAGGGCTGGTTATCAGGGCAGAATTATGCCTGCAGCTTAGATTAGTAGAACCATTACTGACATTGGCCGTGTCTTCCCCAGTGGCTCCAGCCCTTCAAGTGTCCAAGTTCACCCGGTGCCCTCCACGGAAGGTCTGGAGTGTGCTCCCTGCTCAGTGTTGGCCATCATGATTCAGTGGCAACTAGATACTTGCCTCCCTGATGGTGCTAAGTGTGGTCCACAGTCACCACCTCAGGAGGGTATCAGGCACGTGCAGGGACAAAGACTCAACAATGAGAAAGTCATGGCTTTTATCCCAGAGGAGTTCCCAGTCTTGTAGGGAAGGAACTTTCCGAAGAAATAATTCCAGCACGGTGTGCTATTCTATATTTGATGATGAAAGTTTTCCAACAGAAAAATCAGGTCATATCCTGGCTCTCTGATATGATGCCTGACAATGGGACAAACCCAGGAATCAGGGCCACACGTCTGCTGTATTTATCAAGCTCTCAAAAGCACCACAGAAAGGCTGTGCAGGTTTGCATGTGGTTGGCCTCAGAGGCCCAGAAACAATGGCTTGGTGCTGTCCCCTTCCCACCTAAATTCTGGGGATGACAGCGACCAAATAGAAATGAGAAAAACTCCTTAGGATCACAGAGATGAGTAATAGCCCCTACCATTTATCTCCTCTCTTTGTGGGGACACTGTAGGACATCCCCCCAACCCCCACCCCAGCATTCAGGTTCTAAGTGCTTCTCCCAGGCAGAGAGACTGTATTCACACAGGTCTCCCACCCAGCTGAGGCTAGAGCAGGCTGAATTCGGAGTCCAGGAAAGGCTCAGCCAGAGGCTCTAAAGTTCCCAAATGTCGACTTTATACGGGTTAAATTAAAAATAATCCTCTTGATCTAACCAGGGATGTTGGAGATCCCTTGGGTGGGCTGCTTGGGCACCAGGGAGGGTCTGATATACCCAGGGTCTACTTAAGTCCCTACCATGTTCCCTTTCCCCCCTTTCCTTTGGAGGTTTGGCCTCATTCCTCCTTTAATCTCCTCTCCTATTTCTGTGGTTCTTCCCAGCTGTGTAACTTCAGAGTGAAATAAACGCCTAAGAACAAAACAGTCCATGCCCAGACACAATATAACCCATGCCCAGTGCCACCCACAGCCATCCGGCCTCCCAAGACTACGGAGAACAGGCCCTCCCAGGTCTTAAAGAAAATACAAAGCAAAGGCAGGGGCATTGCACATTTGACTCTGGACAAATGGTGACTTGATCTTTGGGGAGTTTATCCACAAAACAGGTTATTTTCCAGTTCAAGGATATGCCACCAGTATCCATGGTTAATAATGTGTGGGTGAGCCCACTATTCACAGCAGCAAATGTCATGTGATGATTTGACTAGTGTCTATCTCCCCACAGTCCCTAAATGGCATGGGACCCTGCACTGTATCTTTTCTCCTGCTCACTGTCCTATTTTCAAGGGTTTAGCACAGTGTCTGGCTCATTACAAATTTATTGAGACAACTGTCTGACTAAAAAACGTTGGGGAGTACCCCATTTTAGGATATATTCCCCACACAGCAAGTTTGGAGCCTCCTGACAACTCTCGAGGATTGGTATTGTCTGCTTTGTCTGATGTCATGTGGCATTAGAAGGTGACATCTGGAACCAGAAGGGAAATTGTGTGTTGATTGATGACTATACCTTACTATGGTTAAGGGTACTGAGTAATTGCTACCCTGTCTGTGGAGTCAAGAGACTCCCTTGTCCAGTTATCTCTAAGCAATAGTCTGTTTTATAACACGGATACAGTGGTTTTAGGAGGACTGAGGCTACAAAATGCTTGGCTTGAAGGGAAAAGAACCACAGATAAAACTGGTAGAACAATGTTATACGAAGAAACTAAAAGCATGCCAGGATGGTGTCCATGGATTTACTTTCTTGGGGTACAAGTTTCACAGATCAGTGGATAATAGTTAGTAGACCTGACAGAGCTCAGCCTACAGGTCTCATGATCCGACAGAACAATGTTAGCAATGTGCTCTCCCCAACCCAGGAAGCAGCGGCTGTACTCACGGGGGTAATCCTTCGGATGGGTCTTCTCGGACCAGTTCCCATAAAACGTGAGTCTGTACTTGGCAGTTCCACAGGCACAGCAGTCCAAGATTGGTCTGTCCGTCACCCCATCGGCTGTGGGATCTGGAACAGGAAGTCAAGTTAGAAAGCAGATGGGAGCCTCGTAAAAGACAGTTATGCAGCAGCTTGTCTTAGCCTTGATCCCTGTGTAAAGGAGATGCAGTGCAGTTGCATTGGTTTGTAAGACTCAAGACTAGCAGTCGGATTGCTATGGAGTTTATACTTCTCAACTATGAATATATAATTTGCAAATAAAAATTCAAAGTTCTTTGCTCATTATCTGAGCTGTTCTATGGAAACAAGAGTACAGAATCTTTAGGATGGGGAGACTTTCGGAAAATCAATACTAACTTTTACCTAGTTATTCTTTCCATTTTAAAGATTTATTTTCATTTGTGTGTATGTGTGTGTGTATGAAAATGGCTCTGTGAGAGAATGCCAAGTGTGTGATGGTACCTAAGAAGACCAGAAGAGTGTGTCAGACCCCTGGATCTGGAGTCACTGATGGTTGTGAGATACCTGATTGCAAGTGTTGGGAACCAAACCAGGGCCATCTGCAAGAGCAGCAAGTGCTTTAAACCACTGAGCTGCCTCTCCAGCCCTTTCCCAGTTGTTATTTTCATATCCCCATCCCTTCCACAGTAGCATCTCTTTCTCTATTATATTTTAAGAAGGACATGTGTCTATTTTCCTAAGAAGCATTTTTCAGGGCCTAAAATGCTAGACCAGAGTGTAGGTGGGGGTGGTTTTGAAGAACAGTGAGAGCAAGTAGAGTGGGTCTCAACCTTCCTAACGCTGCGACCCTTTAATACAGTTCCTCATGTTGTGGTGACCCCTAACCATAAAATTATTTCATAACTGTAATTTTGCTACTGTTGTGAATCGTGATGTTAATATCTGGTATTCAGGATATCTGATACACAATCCCCCAAAGGTGCTGAAACCCATCAGTTGAGAATCACTGAAGTGGAGGCTTAAACAGTTGCTGGAAATGAAGAGAAGGGGATTCTTATGCAGTCACATCATCTCTTTCAAAGACAGTCCTGGGAAGTGGGGTTGGGGGAGTTGCAAATGTGTTCACAAGTTCAAGTTCACTTCTACCTGTAGAAGCAGACAGGAAAAAGTTAAGATTCCCTCTCTGCCTCCATTTTTAGCTGTGAGTAGCTGATAAGCAGGGAAAGAGAGGGTGCATGAATAAATTCAGCCTTTCTGATTGTTAAGCCCACAGCTCTAACTGCCTTGGTGTTCTCTGCCTGCTCGTCTGTCTGCCGTGAGAGGGGACAATGCCTACAGATGCCATTTACTGTAACTGCTTTTTCCGCAGCTCTCCCAGCTGCGTTAACATCAATCTTCCTTTTTTGCAAGTTGAACATTTTTTTTCTTAAATATTGTACAAAAGAGCAGCAACCAAGGGGGATGAAAACCATTTTGCATGTCAGAAACATTATTTTTCAATCTCTTTAGGAATCTGCTGAGCTCGCCAGGTTTGAACATGCAAAATCGATGATGGGTAGAAGTGAGTTTGGGGATGAAGACAAAATATGAAACATTGTCCCCATATCAAGGATGTACTGAGTCCCTTGTATGTACTGATTTCATTCCATATACTGCCCTAGGAAGCACTTCGGTTATAACCTGTGGTCTGAATGTGAAATACCCTCCTTGTGTTTGAACATTTGGTCCCTACGTGGTGACCCTGTTTGGGAAGATTGTGGAACCTTTAGGAGGTTAAACCTTGCTGGAGGAAGTGGGTTACTGGGGGTGGGTCTTCAGGCATCATAGCCCAACCCCACTTCCTGTGCACTCTTTGTGACAGGCCAGCCTTCTCCTCCTGCCATCATGTCTTTCCTACTTTCGTAGACTACTGTGTCCCCCTGAAGTGTAGACCAAAATAAACCCTGTGTCGTGTTTGCCAGGGTATTTTCTGACAGCAATGGTAAAGTAATGAAGGCAGCCTTGTTTTGCAGATCATTAAAAGGAAGGAGGAGGCTGGGTGGCTTCACCAAGCTCTCAGGGGTAGTGGGGCCATGCAGGCAGAAGCGCGGCCCAGAGAGCCCAGGACCTCACTCAGGTTCCAGTCACTGCAGGAAAGGCCCATTCTGGATGGCACAAATGATACCTGGAAGGAAGGAAGGAAGGAAGGAAGGAAGGAAGGAAGGAAGGAAGGAAGGAAGGAAGGGAGGAAGGAAGGAAGTAAAGAAAGAAAGGATAGAAGGAAGGAAGGAAGGAAGAAAGAAGGAAGGAAGGAAGAAAGGAAGGAAGGAAGGAAGAAAGAAAGAAGGAAAGAAGAAAGAAAGAAGGAAAGAAGGAAAGAAAGAAGGAAAGAAAGAAAACTGTTTCTGAAAGTATATTTAAAAGAAAAAAAAAACCCTACATACAGATTTTAGGGATTTCTAAAGAGGCTCAAAGGAGAAGGCTGCGGCCATCCAAAGCAGAGGCTGGAGTGCTCTCAATGCCCGGAGGGAGCTGCCCGCTACTGCGTTTGTACAAAACCTGGACTTGGTTCCTGTGTGAGCCACTTGTGTAGTTAAGGACACACGGCACCTAGTCCATTTTGAGAGAGGTAGCTCGAACCAGAAGATCTGGTTTTTCTGAAGTCTGCTGAGGATAAGCTGCATCGGAACAAACACTTAAATTAGTTTTGAAAAGGGGATTAGGAACTGAGAGGTTCATGCTGCGATTCCGATCCTAAGGACCAGGTGCTGTTAAATGAGGCAGCAAGGGACTCCAGCACACCCAAAATAACACCAACTGGGAGATCTACCAAAACAGCTTTCAGATTCAGGTAGCAAAGTTAAAGACACCAGGAAGGCTTTACAGAAATGAGTTTACAAACCCTTAAAAATAAGCTTCCATCTAAAAATTAAATTTCTAGGATTGAAAGGGGAACTGTTTCCTACCAAGTCAAAGAGCAGTGATGGCAAAGCACCAACACACTCCCCAGAGTACAACAGCTCAGCTGCCGAGTCAGGCAACCTCAGTCCTGGAGCATGGCCTCAGTTTTCCTCTCTCCCCATTCATTACACACGCAAGCATGCACATACACACATGTGCGCGCGCGCGCGCACACACACACACACACACACACACATGCACTTTGAGACAGGGTCTCACTATGTGTTCTTGGCTGGCCTGGAACTTACGGTATAGATGAGGCTGGTCTTGAACTCACAGAGCTCTGCCTGCATCTATCTTCTATGTGTTATGATTAAACGTGTGGGCCTCCACACCCAGCTTGATTTCACTTATTTTGTGCAGTGCGGGGGATAAAATCCATGTCACTGCAGTGTCACTTAACACACTCAGCACATGTTTTCTTTTTTTAAAACTGAATTTCACGGTGTAGCCCAGGCTGGTCTTGAACTCACAACCCTTCTGCCTCACCTTCCCAAATTTTGAGTCTACCACCCTGGCCACTCCTATCACACCTGATCTTTCTCCTCACTTCTATCTGGAATTTCTTGGCTTTTGAAATTCTCTTCTGAGATTCTTAGGTCTTTTCTCCCTCCTCATCCCCCTCTTCCTCCTCTTTTTACTTGTGTATGTGTACATGTGTGGGTTCATGCACATGTAAGCAGGTTTGTGTGTGTGTGTATGTGTGTGCAGGAGCCAATGCAGAAGTGTGTTCATGTGCGTGGAGGACACACCTTATCTGTCATTTCTCTGTGGCCATCCATCTTTTCAAAAAATTAAAAGTATGCATATATGTGTATGCCCATATACGGGCATTTACATGTGCGCACACATGACCATGGTGGTGAGAAGAGGGCGATGGACCCCCTGGAGCTGGAGTTACAAGTGGTTCTGAGATGCCCAGCTTGGGTCTTCTGCAAGAGCGGTATATGTTCTTAAACCCTACGCCATCTCTCCAGCCCTAATCCACTTTGTTTTGGAGACAGGGTCTCTAACTAGCCTATAACTCACCAAACAGCTGGGCAGACTGGCTGGGAGGTGAGCTTCAGGGACCCATCTGTCTTCCCCTCCCCAGTGCTGGGCTCACAAGTGGAGCCCATCACACCCAGCCGTTAGTTGTGGCTTTCGGGGCTTGGGGCTTGTGCTTGGATCTTCAGGCTTGCAAAGCGAGGGCTATCCTTGATCGAACCAGCTGCTCAGCTCTCCTCTTCCTCCTCCTCCTCCCTCTCTCACACTCTTCTCATTTTCTGGCTTCTGCTTATATTCTCTTCTCTTCTCTGGTTTTCCCTTTTGCCACCCTCCTCTGTCATTCCCCTTCTGTTTGTGACATGGTATCCAACTGTGTGACTATCTGTCTATTGCAGATCACCTTTTGGAATAGGTGATATGTCTCTATTTTTCAATTGCAAGAGATTTCACATTTATGTTGCTTTTAAACATCACAGGCTGGAGAGATGAATCCATGGGCAATGGTGCTTAACATGCAAGCATGTAAAATAGTCATGCGTGCAGCATGAACTTCTGTCACCCAACTCTTCAGCAGAGATGGAAAGCAATGACAAGAGAATTCCCTGGGAGCTCATGGGCCACCCAGCTTGGCATACACAGAAAAAACAAACAACAAAGAAACCATTTCAAACAAGGTTGAAGGTAAAGACTGACATTCAAGGCTGTCTTTTCAACTTAAGTGTGCATGGAATAACATCCATATTTACACATATAAATGTGCACACACATGCACACAGTAGTGTTCACTGCTTTTTATCCTTGTGGCTCTATTTCATCACCTATGGATGAATGGTTGTAACTGGGGCAATCAACGATGGTGCCAAGTTTCACTATTGCTTTCCTTAACAGATTTGATTTGATTCAACAAGAAAGCAGGAAACATGGAGACTCTGATAAAAAGCTGGAGTTTGTTAAGTGATTAAATACATACAGAAATCTCTTTGCTCTGCTTATGTTTAAATGTGATGACTTTGATGTTAATTTTCTCATGAGTCTGCTGTTTCCTGGGGTCAGGTGTGCTGCTGGTACACAAAGGCCAGCAGCACGAGGACTTGCTGGGCCTTTTCAGGAGTCTTTGTATAGATGTGCAATTAGCCATTTTCCTAAGAGAAACAGCGAGAGATATCCCATGCTTTTTCATCATCACTGTGCCCACTGGATTTTAGCACACGCACAACTTAAACAAGGCTCCAGGAAGGACTTTTGTCAGTGCATGGGGTTGTCTGTAAAGCATCTCCTAAGAACTTTCAGGTTCTGGAAATAAGGCTGGCCTCTGACAGTCCAACTAACTGATTCATAGCACGATGAATGAACGTAGCTACCTCCAGGGGAAGATGAAGATGTAGCCTATGTGTAAGGCAGAGCACCCTTGAGTCCACCTCACGGGTCCTGGGTATAATTACATGGAGAGAGGGTAGGGAGCAAGGTTGTCATTTAGAAATCAAGAGCCTAAAGAACTGCTGTTTGGGGAAAAGAGCTGACTGAGCTATTTACCAGCTAAACGGCTTAGACGGAAGACACCACCCAACACGCAGTGGTGCTGACCAAGACGTTAGCCAGGGTCTTGCCAGAGTGTCCACAATACCCACCCTGATACCAAGCATCCAACTGCCCCCACAAACATTTTGACTCTGGGTTATTTTTACAAGGAGGCAGCGCATTGCACTGCTATAGACAGGGCTGCACAGCACTGAACACAGAAAACAGTGGTTCAGGTCTGGCCTCCTGGTGCCAACCCCTGCCCTCCGCTGCTGGCTGTAAAGAGCTATTTGAACTGCCTCTATCTGAGGCTCCTCATCTACACTAGGGCTGACCCAGTAGCCTTTGCCACATGCCGGGCTATTGCATAGATTACATAATTAGTGAGTAGACATTTATTAGATGGTATTTAGAATAGTGCCCATCATGTAGCAAACACTCAAACTTTATTTAGCAATTATTATTATTTCCCCAGTAGACCTCTCTCCAACCTTTTCTTGCAGTTTATGATTTGCTATAGTTGGATTATAGAGGATTATTCCTTCTGAAAAGACTAATTGCTGGAAAGGCAAATAAAAATTCTGTAAAAATGAATAGAAATGAGATAGCTGAGCTGTATAATTATAAAGCAGTTTCTGTTTTCATTGAGTTGCCTAATAACTTCTAAACCAGTTCAGATGTTTAAAGTCTTATTTTTAACAGCAGATTAACGAACAAGCTTTTGAATATAGACAGCAATAGCTACCATGTAGGCACATACACACACACACACACACACACACACACACGCACATTCAATCTGTGTGTATGATGTGTGCACTTGTGTGGATTGGTGGATAGCATTCTGTGAGTGCAGGCGTGCGTTAGCATTTATAGTGGGGTCAGAGGACAGCCTCAGGGGTCAGTTCTTGCATTCCGCCTTGTTTTCCTCTGTAGATTTCAGGTTGTCCTGAGAGCACCCAGGGATCCCCTCCTCTGCTTCCATCTCGTATGTTACAGATGAATGATGGGGCGGCAGACTTGAAGCACCATGTATAGCTTTATGTGGATTCTGGAGCTTTGAACCCTCACAGTTGCGTGGTAAGAGCTTTACCCACGGAGCCATTTCCCATTGTACGTTATTAGGTCACATGGTGGGTGAGCAATGGAGACAGACTAAGACCTAATCTGAACCCAGGCCCCTTCTCTAAGCCCCTAGCCTTCTTCATTAGGGTACTCTAGTCCTGGCAAGAATGCACCTCATTAAAGTGCTTATCTAGCATACACAAGGCACTGGATTTGCATCCTAGCTTCAGGAAAAAAAAAAAGACATTTATTACAGTGATTCAGTACAAGAAAGGGGTGTTTATGAATTTACAATCTGAGGACCAGAGACTTGAATGTGGTAAAAAATCATAAGGTTAGTCTCCCATACCCTCCAACCCACAGCACTCCTATCTTCCACTGGTTTCTTTTGGAGAAAATCCCCCATATTACTCCGATGCCATACAAGTTCTGGGGGAGGGGAGGGGCGATTATCCCCAGAGAGCTACTGTGGGCTTTTTAAAGGTACACAATTGTGCATTCCTTAATTAAGTCCTGTGAATTATTCCAAGGAACCCCCTCGGAATAATCACTGTTTCACAAAAATAAGAAGACAGCACCAATATAAGGTACATTATCTCCTACCCAGGGAATCAAGCTGAGTAATTAGAGCTTAAGGCGGATCCAATTATCCATAGCACACAGCCAGATTAAAAATCAGAGCTACGTGAGAAGGCAGAGCCCAGGGGGACGCAGAAAGACTCACTGCCTGAATTCCAGCAGCCATGCTTAAAAGAGCCTCCCCCCCACACACACCATTTGCCTGCTCCTCCCCACCTGAATGCTCTTACCTTGTTCACACAGCTTCTTGGTCAGAGAGCCCTCATCTTGAAAATAAATGATGCGTTTCTGTACGATGCTGGCCCTGTGGGGAAACAAGACATCGACACACTGGTGAGAGGGGCAGCTTTGGAGGGACAGTCAAACACAGTCCTCGTTTGGCCACCCAAAGTTTGCTGACTCTGTGTGCTGTTCCTCCAGCTCTCTGTGCTGCTGTTTCTTCATCCATGAACGGACAAACAGTGTGTGCCCCATGGCGTGACCAAGAGAACCGTCAGAAAATGTGTGTCCACGGCCTGGCCTGTGTCTAGAAACCACCCTCCCAACATTAGATACCAGTTGTTCTTGATAGCTCCTGAGGTAAGAAAGTGAACCAATGGTATTTTCGGCATCTTTTCTCAATGGCTCATCTCCTCTTCCTCTCCCTATTAAATGATGGAGGCCATTTATAGATCTGCCACATTCAGATTTTAGAAGCATGTCAAAGCCTTTTCCTGAAGGGAGAAGAAGAAGTCAAAAAGTTTTTTTTTTTTTTGATTTGTGCTAAAAATGTCATTCTGTATCATTCCTGAAAGTCTAGACAAAACCATCTCCTACACTCTGAACACAGGCAACATCAGCTGTGGTTTCTCTCTCTTAAACACGTCAAACGTGGGCTCTTAGAATTTAGAACGCATATTTTGAGGTTGCAAATGACTTAGCTTTGATCAGCACATATTTTCTCTTTCCTCTGGGGTGGAGACCCACTGTTTCTCCTTTAACTCGCTCTCTTGTTTATTTTCCATTGGCCTTGAAAAGGTTGGATCTTGAAACCCAGTGTTCCAGCAATTTAAGAGTCCACAACACTTAAAATTGAGCTGGTGCCGATAAATCTCAAGCCGTTTCTATTGATTTCCTTCAGCAATGCTACTCAATCAAAAGGTAATTTTCACTTCGATTCACCCTATTTAACAGATAAAGGCATCCCTTAACTCCATTATAGCTGACCACACTGAATAACTGTCTGACTCCCATGATTCCAGACCTAGAAACTGGCCCACATTCTCCGTGGGGATCTGTACTGAGTAGAGATGATTTCCCCAATGGTCTGGGCAAAGGCCAAGATGACTTTCCAAAGAAATGTCTGTGCTACATCCAGTCTTGCACAAAAGAATACAATTCAGGCTAGTTTTACAGATGTCTTTTACAGTCTTTCCCCACCTAAGAGAGACAAGATGTTGAAATAAGTAAATGAAATATGCTTCCTGTCCACACAAAACGACCTTGATCATTTTATCCATTCTCTTGACCATGGAGTGGGAAAGCTCCCTCAGGCCAAGAGAGTAATCATCAGCCCTACCTCAAAGTCAGATAATAAAGCCTCTTGTTTATCCCAGCACTCTGCCACCTACAGCAGGCCCTTTTTCCTGTGCCTGGGGGACCCTTGCAGGAGCTAACGAGGGGACCTCCCAGGCAGTGCCTAAGATCCACAGTTCTGGTTCAGTGGAAGGCTCCCTCCTCATGTCTCCCACAGAAGCTCCCCCCTTTTGTCTTCTTTTAGGACTTATGGGCACATTTTCAAAAAGTTCTTCCCAGAGGGCATGCTTAGTGGCTGGCACTGGGGAGGGTGCCAGGGCCATTTTGAACAACAGAAGATGGGCCACTCAGCTCATTCTGGAGGTTCATATCACAGGAGGGGGATGCAGAAAACAAACAAACCCACAGCGAATGACTGAGGCTAATGGTGATTCTGAGTGCTACCACAGAAACATGTACAGAGTGCAGACGGGAGGCCCGACCAACTGGGAGATGCTTCCCGGGAAAGACTAGCTCAACTGGGACTGGGGAAGAAGGCATTAACCAGGCAGTTAGGAGGGAGAAGAAAAGGAGAGGGTGTTGTTTATAAGATCCTTGAGGTAGGGGGGATGTGGGCTTGCTGGAGGGCTCATGAGTGGACAGTCATAGAGATGGTGTAAGATGAGTAGGGAGGTGAATAAGCCCATCACCTCGTAATCCAAGGCCTGTTGGGAAATGGCCTTTTATTCAAAATTTAATAGATATCTTTTGGGGGCATGCCACAGGACTGAAAAGAGTGCTTTTTCAAAAGAGCCCTTCGGCCAATGAGTGACAGACAATAGGTTGGCATGAGTCACATGGTATAGAGGTTCCGAGCAAATCATGTTTTATTTCAATAAAGATTTCTTCCAGCAAATGTTTGAAAATGACTGGACTATAGAGACATTAATTTTCCTCTGGCTAGCTCTATGTCAACGGGATACAAGCAGAGTCACTTTGGAAGACGGAACATCAATTGAGAAAATGCCTCTACCAGACTGGCCTGCAGGACAAGCTTTGTAGCTTTTCTTGACTGATGATTAATGTGGGGGGAGGGACCCAGATCAGCCTGGGGCTGGTGGTCCTGGGGGCTATAATAACAGGCCAAGCAAGCCATGATGAGCAAGCCACTAAGCAGCACTTCCCCATGCCTCTGCCTCGGTTCCTGCCTTCAAGTTCCTGCTCTGACTCCCCTTCATGAGGAACAATGAGCTAAAAGATGAAATAAACCCTTTCCTCCCCAAGTTGCTTTTGGTCATGGTTTTCTCGCACAGCAATAGAAAACCTGAGACAGTTTCTTCTGTCATTGCTTAGCCAAATGCCTGGCAAAGAACAACTTAAAGAAAGAGTGGTCTGTACAGCTCACAGTTGAAGGGACCACAGTTCATCATGGCAGGTAAGGCCTGAGGATGCAGGGCTCTGTCCAGGCAGGAGAGCAGCAGCCACATGCATGCATCTCAGTGGACTGGTAGCAGATGGGTCAGGAAGCAAGACATGGTTATGGACCTGAAGCCTGCCCTCCAAAGACCCACATCATGGAGCAAGGCTCTCCCTCCAAAATGTTTCATGACCTCCGGATACAGCACCACCATCTGGGGGTTCAAACACATGAGCACAAAGGAGACATTTTACATCCAAACTACACCAGGATAATACACTAACATGGTACTGAAAGCTTTTTATAGTTCCCCCAAATACCATCAGCTTTATTTGTCACCACTGCATGCCAGGCTTCCCGGGTTCCAGCATTCTGATGTTATTCCATCTTAGCTAAATACCCATAGTCAGCCTTTGCAAGCACCTGCAAGGAATGCCCTGAATGCCTTTCAGCTTTCTGTGAAGAAGAAAATGGTAAAAGCCATGATTTCAAAGCATGATCATGAACAGTACTTACCCCTAACTTTAGAAAAAATATGCTTGTAAAAATTTATAGAGACCGCAGTGGAAGCTGTGTATATTCTGTAAGCTGTCCGAGCCATCCAGGTTCTTCACCTCCTGAGACTACATAAAGTGTAAGCTATTTCACTCCCTTTAAAAAACAACCTTATGTTTAAAAAACAAAACGGGAATAGAGAGCTGTCGTGGCAGCACTTTCAAGAACCAAGTTCAGATCTCAGACCTATGTCAGGCAGCTCACAGTCACCTGCATTTTTTACTCCAGGGAACCTGCTTCTGGCCTCCATAGGCATCTGCACAACACACACACACACACACACACACACACACACACACACACACACACACCACTTGTTTAGCATGCATGAGACCCTGTGTTCCCTCCCTAGTACCACCTAGTTAGATAAATAAATACATAAAATATAAACACAGGCTTAAAAACCAAAATATCGGCTCTGGGGGGGGATGGCTCAGCAGTTAAGAACACTTGCTCTTGGGTTCAGTTTTCAGCACCCATGTGGTGCCTCGAAAATGTCTGTAACTCCAGTTTCAGGGAATCTGATGCCCTCTTTTGGCCCCTGCAGGTATCAGGTATGAAAGTGGTGCTCAGACATGCAGGCAAAACATTCACATGTGTATATAATATGGATATATATAATATATATTAGACTATATATTGTATTTATGTAGTATATAAGACTATATATACTCTATATATTATATATAGTCTTACCATATGCTATGTTGTGTGTACTTGTATGTGCATAAATTTGTATATTTCGTATTACTTAATTTAATATTTCAATTTTCCCATTTGACATGCATGGGGTTGATGAATCTTTCAATATAGGAATTTTCAGATATTAGGAATTTGGTGTGTGTGCCACTAATGCCCCTGTAGTTAAACATGTCAGTATTCAATAGCAAAACATCAGATCATTGCTACAAAAGAGTGAGTTAAAACGACAAAATCTAGATATCAATTTAGTCTGAAAGGTTGCTGATGTCTGTGGGATCGCAGATAAAAGTCTGTGTTTGTTCTATCCTTATCTTACAGGTGAGACTCGGGCAGACAGAGAAGGGCTGGGTTAAAGCTGCCCCTGTCTGTTTCTGAGTTCCCTGATCTAACTCATGCTTTTTAACTCCACATTCTCAGGCTCTATCCACTACCCTTCTTCTGGTGTTTTTATGATGCTATAGATTTGTGCACCTACACACAGACATGCACGCATGCACACACCCTTTTCAGTTACCCAGTTCATACCAACCAAGATGTTCCTTCTTTAGGTTGATTCCCCGATTGCGTGCCTTTCCTAGGAGAGCCAGAGAACCTGGGATACTCCAGCCACAGCACTTACTAACCCACTGAGTACCTGCTTGTTCTTTTCCTGGTTCCCGTGCTGGATCTTAAACTTCTTGAGAATTGGGACTAAATATCGCTATAGATTTTGCTGTTTCGATACTAGGATTCAAGGAGAAGAAACAGGGTTTGTGGAGAAGATAAGCGTCTGACACTAACAGGCTGTAGGGAGAGATGATGATCAGTCCGGTGGGTGTTGGGGACCGCTAACTTGGCTGAGGTCTAAGGGGATCTGAGGGTGCATGAGGGGCACTGGACCGAGGACAGTGTTGCAGTTATCTGGGTGGTTGGTGTCACCCCAGGAAGTATTCAGAGTAACAAAAAGCCCAGATGAGCCACGATTGCTGAGGAAGACATTCACTCACAGAGACCAGGACTTTGGTCCACTTAGTTGTAGAAATTGTTTCACTTTATCCCTCATTTGGTCAGCTCCTCAGAGAATTTTCTATTCTGAGAAAATGCATTTTTTACTTTGAGACAATTCCCACCAAAAGTATAAAATTCAGCTGAGGCTT